GGGTGGGGCTGGGGGTGGGGGGACGGGACAGAGAAGGCTTAGCTCTTTAGGTCCAGGGCGGTTCCACGTTGCCTTTCCTGCCCAGAGATCTGGAGGCTGGATGAAGGGCAGGGAGGAGACAAGGCAGGAAAGGTCTTCACGCTGTAGGGACCGCTAGGCCCGTTCTGAGTCCCAGGGAAGGTGCAGGGAGCTGCAGGAAGCCCGGCTCGGGGGCCCTGGCAGGATGCAGCGGGGGACCCAACGGCGCTGCCGAGCATCCCAGAACAGCCTCGGAGTGCGGTCCAAGCTGAACCAGGGACCCAACTTCCAGTGACCCTGGTCTAAGAGGTGAGGCTGGACGGCCAGGGGGAACTAGGACCGAAGGGAGGGCGCAGAGGAGAGGAAGTGCTCCTCGGATTTACGGCCCCCCTTCCTGGACCCCGCCCTCGCCCTTGCCCCCAGCTGGGTCCCGCCGCGTTTTCTGCTCATCGCTCACCGGGGGTGCCGAGGACTGTGAAGACGGCCTCGGACAGCTTGGGATGCCGATCTCTGGGAAGCAGGAAGCGGGAATCAGGAAATGACAGAGGAGCGGAGCCGGGGGCGGGGTGGGGCGGGGTGGAGGTTTGGGGGCGGGGCCGAGTCACGCGCAGGGATGCGGGGCGGGGGTGAAAAGGTGGCTGGGCCGGGGTGGGCGGGGAAAGGCGGGACTGGGGCGGGACCAAAGTGGAGCCCTACCCCGAATGGGCTGGGGCTGGAGCTTCCTCTCCCAAGAAGGGAAAGTTCCCCGGCAGCAGCTGTAGCCCGGGGCGAGGTGCAAGTACTGGGGCATGCGCAGGAGTTGCTAGTCTGGGGCGAAGCCAGTCCCTCCTCCCGACTGCACACCCGTAGGGCACCACATGACCGTCCCCGCCCCACCTCCGGTTGGTGTCTACATAGACAGATTTAAAATTCTAAGAGTCAAAGCTCTTGGTTTAGGATACAAGTAAGATAATGTTGGGCCGGGGATTTAGCTCAGTGGTTCTGCCGCCTGCCTCGCAAGCGCAAGGTCCCGAGTTCGGAAGAGGGAGGGGAAGGCCCGCCCAACAAGTCCCATTCTTCCGGATGGAGACCCGTGAGTCCTGCCAGGATCTTTATTGAACACCGAAATGGGTCCTTGGGCAGATCCCTCGCACCTTCCTTTGCTCCCTGGACCATCTACGCGGACCCTGGAGGTCAGACCGTAGGCCTCTTCCTTCAATAACAGGGAACCCAGACTGGCCTCCACAGATCTACCGCACCCCATCTCACTCCGGGGCCTTCGGTGTCCTTTTAGGTCCCATTTTTCTCTTAAGCTGGTGTTTCTGGGCACTGGCTCCCTCCTCATATCTTCCTTGTTCATCTACCACGCTGCGTGACCAGGAGGTGATAGCAGGGTCCCTTTCCCAGAAAGATAAAAGGAGAGACAAAGAGGGGCAGAGAAAAGAAGCCCCCACCTTGTGTCGGAGGGTGGTCTGGGGTGCGAGTCTCATCTCATTCCCTCACCACTCTGGGAGGAAACAGGCTCAGAGTGGGCAGGTGTTTGTCTGGGGCCACACAGCTGGTGTTCAGTCTCCATCTGGTTTCAAAGTCCTCGAATTTCCCAGTGCTCCATAAACCCTAGGCTGGCCAGGCAGGAATGTGGGAACCAGATGCAGCCAGATCCAGGCAACAGGCAAGGGTCTGGGTTGCCGCGCCTCCCTAAACCCTGCCAACCCTGCCCAACCTGTGACTACCCTGATTGAGAGAGAATCCACAGCTGCCTTGTCTCTCCACCCACCCTGCCTGTCTGACCCCTACCCACCATCCTTTGTACCCGCCCCCATACTCTCCCTGCCTGTGGCCCAGTGTTACTGACTTCTCTCCTTCTCTCACCCCTGAGAACCTCCTCCAACCGCCCCCCCCCCCCCCCCGCCCCGACAGGGCATCCTGTTCCTTCCCTTTCGCTGGAAGCTTTCTCCCTGGATCTTGAAAAGACTCCAACCCTCCCTCCAGGGCTCTGCTTATCTGTCACCTCCCTGGAGGCTCTCCCTGACACCCCTCTCACCCGTCACTCTCTGGCCCTTACTTGTTCCCACTGCATTTGTTCTCAGTCACTGCTGGATCACCAGATGCTTCTCCCTGCTAGAATGTCAACAAGTTGAGTCCAAGGATTTTGCCTTTTCCCCTCACTGTTCTCCCAGCTCCCAGAAAGGGACCCAGTGCCCATATCTGATCCCTTAGTGCAGGTTGAGCGAATGAATGAGCAGCAGCCCTGAATGTAGAATTAAAAATGTTCATGTTCCCAACTCTCAGAATCAATATCTGGCCCCTCTGGAAGACAGGGAAGGGTCTCTCACCTGGAGAAGGAGGGGGGAGTCTCCCAGAAGGCAACAGGAGCCCAGCCTGTTGTTAGGGTGATGTGAGGGGCTGTGGGGGACTTCATGGCCCTGTTCCCTCCTACATAAATGTCCTCTGTGGGACCCTGGGGAACTCCTCTATCCTGCAAATCACTTCAGGGCCTGCTGTGTTTCCTGGATAGCAGTTACCCGTGATGGGTGGGATTCTCTTTGGGGACCTTGGAGGTAGGGCTGGCTCACTCTTTAAGCCAGGTGGCCGGTGCTGAGGTTTTATTCACTGATCTGCTTGCCATGTTGAAATGCTTTGGGACCCCGGCCAGGAGAAAGGGGACAGAAGTCCAAGCCCTGTCCTTAGAGATTGTGTACCCCAACAAATAAGATGGAGAAAGGAGGAGGGGGAGGAGGAAGAGGTAGTGTGGAAACAGGAATAAAACCTGGCAGGCAGTCTATCTGCCACGTGGGCTCTGGCCTATATTGGTCTCATACTTGGCCTGGGCCTGGGGGTGCCCACTGGTAAAATCAAATTAAGGGCTAACAATTATTGAGAACTTACTCTGTACTTGGTAAAGATCCAAGCTCTTCTTAGAGATCAATCAGTTATGAACCCCATTTTACAGATGGGCAAACTGAGTCCCAAAGAAGCCAAGAGTTTTGCTGAAGTTTACACATTTGGTGAGTAGTAGAGCCAAGATACAAACAACCCCTTCAGGGCACCAGACACTTCAACCTGAACCCTGCCGATGTATTTCCAAAAGAGAAGCTGGCCAGAGAGGCATCGGGTCTAGCATGTGCTCAATAAATATTTGTTAGATAAATGAATTCAACAAACTCACATCTGCCCAGAAATCCCTCTCCCACCTGTTTTAGTGCCTATAATCCGTGCCTTTCCCATTCCTGGCTCTGGTAATAACCACAACCTGCTACCCAGCAAGGGACACATCATCCTGAACTGACAGAGGCAAACATTGAGGCTAAGAGCAAGCTAGGACCCAGAACCTAAATCTGACGGCACCACACCTAGCTGCCCGAACTGCAGGCCACCTTTTTACAATGAAACAGCCTTGGGAGGGGCAGCATATAAAATGTCATTGTCATTTACATTTGCTGGTGAGGGCATCTCGCAGTTGCTGCAGGTCCCAACACTAAACTAGTGGGAAAGGACTGTGAGGGGAGAGGGGCAGGGACCATGGTCTTGGACACTAGGGGCTGGGAAAAAGCACAGGCGCAGGAGATGGGGAACAGGCCTGTTCCACTTCCTTTTTACTGCAGTATCTGCAGCTGGCAAGGAGCTGGCTCTGCCTAATAGAAGCTTGGTGACCTCCGGGAACCTTTGCCATTTCTGGGGCCACTGGTGCCCAGAGCTTTCTGTACATGGAGAACTCCTAACTAAGCCCTTAAGCTTAGATGGGGTAGGCTGGGGCCAGTGCAGTCTGTACCTGCAGCCCCTCTAGAGAATCTGGGCAGCCCTCCCTGGGAGGCCGGGGGCAGGTGACTGCTATTGAAACCCTTGAATGGAATTAGACTTTAAAGTCTCTTGCCAGCCCACCCCTCCCCCATGAGGTGCACAGGTGGCACCATGCTCTCTCAAGCCGCCTGGGTGTCTGCAGCCCAGGCCCGTCACAGGAGCCAAGGTGCTGGCTCTCCCACCTGCCTCCACTCAGTTACCCTAAGGGCCATCCCTAAATCCCACTGATGGAAAGGACATTTGTTCACTGATCTCCTGCTACATGGCTCTGGTGGGGTACTTCACATGCCCCCTAATTTAATCTTCAAAATAGCCCACAAAACAGGAACTCAAAAATAGTTTGTTTTGAGTCACCCAGCCAGGGTGTCACAAAATTAGATTTGAATCCAGGCTTGGTCACTCTTGCCTCTTCAGCCACCTTACTGAGGGAACTCTTACCCCAGCTTCCCTGGCTTCTGGGGACAGGGGACTGGTAGAGAGGGTTTGGCCATGCCAGGCCAGGTTGTGGGCCACTGGGGCCTCTGGCTTCTGCTTAGGGCTGCAGGCTCCTGGTGGCCTCCTTTCTCTGCAGGGATTTTCTTTTTGATGTCCTTGTGTCCAGGCCCGACCTACTGTCTTCCTCAGGAAGTGGAATCTGATGTATTGGAGGACAGGACCCAGCAGGACACCGTCAGTAGTAGCTCAGGGGGCTATTGGGTGACTGTGTGTTTGGTGGGAGTGGGGCAGGGGATGCTGACACAAACTGTCTGGGACTTTTGGCTGCTTTGTTTCACTTCCCCCTAAAGTTCTTCCAGGCCTGAGGACTTGGTGGGGTTTTGCAACAGTGATGTTCTCTGCAACTCTCACCTCTCTGACTGGCTGGTTCCTCTGCTCCCTCTGACTTTTCTGCTGCTCTGGCAGGCCTGGGCTTCCTGGATCCTCACGTGGGGCCTGCACTGAGGGCCTCCATTGGTGGGGCACTGCCAGGGCTTTCTCCCTCGGGGGCTGCTGGCATGGCTGGGCTCTCAGGGTCCTCAGGGGAAGGATCTAGGGATGGGCTAAAGGAAGCTTCCTCACAGGGCTTGGGGAGCCCCATAGCAGGGCCTGGGGACTGGGCCTCAGGACTCAACTGTGGCTGGACTGTATAGTCCAACTGTGGCTGGGCCGTGGGATTCACCTGAGTCTGGGCCACGGGATCCTGTGGTGGCTGGGCCGTGGGGTTCACCTGAGGCTGGACCACGGGATCCAATGGTAGCTGCATCTCTGCTGTTAGAGTTGGGCTCTGAGGGGCCACTTGTGTCTGTGGCTCAGCTGCTGTGAAACTGCCTGGCTGCTCCTCGCAGAGAGCCGCAACGAAGGAGGAAAGCATGGTGCGCAGTAAGTCACGAAGGTCAGCACTGGCCATTAGGCAGAGGAAGGGGCTCAGGCAGCTGTTGAGTAGGATCAGGTAATCAGAGTAGACGAGGGCCTCCCAGAGCAGGTAGCCGGGGTAGATGTCCCACAGAAAGGCCAGGTAGAGCAGCTGTGCCAGCTGGTAAGGCAGTCGCAGGACCACATAGGCCGACAAAATGGTCTTAGCCACACGAGCGAAGCCATGGTAGGCCAAAGGCTGAGGCTGGTGGCAGCGACAGATTTGGCAAGCTGCAGCCTGGGTGAGCACATGGCAGATGAACAGCAGGAGGAATGACAGGAAGCCACCCAGGATCTCAAGCATTCGAAGTGGCAGCTCCTCACTGTCCCAGAAGTCCAGGCAAATGACCAGGTCATACCACCAGATGATGGCCTCAGGGAAGACGAGCCAGGGCACACTGAACATTGTGGCCAGCACCCAGACCCCAGTGCAGACCCAGAGGGGTAGGCGGACTGGGCGGCGCCCAGGGTACCAGCTTGGGCATAGTGCCAGCAGGCAGCGGTCCAGGCTGAGGGCTGCCAGCAGGAAAAGGCCAGAGGAATAGGACACGCCCCACAGGAAGTAGTAGAAGCGGCAGGCAGCTGTCCCCAGCGGCCAGTGCCCTCCATGCTGAATCTCTAAGATCTGAAATGCCGCTGCCGCCAGGAACAAAAAGTCAGAGAGAGCTAGGCTGAGCAGAAGCAAGGCCAGCCTCGTGCCTGCCCCATGCCGGGCCTGTGAGCCAGCCAGCCATGCCATCAGCCCATTAGCTGGCAGCCCCAGGAGTAGCAGGGTCACAAGGAATACTGTGTCCCAGCCGCCCTGAGGGTAGTAGTCCTCCTCATCAAGCTCTGTGCGGGGCCCGTGGCCAGCAGCGCCCAAGTTGGCTTCCATAGCAGTGTCCATGTGGGGTCCCCAGTATACTGCTGGACATGGAATGGGTGCCTGGTGAATCAATGAATGCAGGAATGACTGAGTATGAAGGATAGGGTGCAGTGCATCTCTAGACAAATCAGTGTCTCTTTGGGGGCCATTATTGTCACCTTTTAGGTAGGTGGCCTGCACCAGGGACTTTTTTTTTTGCTATGTAGTTCAGGCTGGCCTTGAACTCACTATGTAGCCCAGGCTGGCCTAGAACACATAGCAATCTTCCTGCCTCAGCCTCCCGAGTGCTGGGATTGCAGGCATGTGCCACCACACAGGGCTTTTTTTGGGGGGGGCTAGAACTTTAAATACATGACCTCATGTAGTCCTCCTACAACCCATTTTACAGTGAGGAGAAGAAGGCTCATGGAATCAGTGACTTGTTTAAGGTCATAAGTAGGAAGGTCAGTTCCAGGACTCAGACCCAGACTTAGCCATTCTGCCACAAGAAATCTGTGTCTAAGTAGACTAAGCTGGAGACTTTAAAACATATTGGTAAAGCTTGTGAATCTTGTTTAAATAAAGTATAGTGGAACTTCCATATGAACTAAAAGAGGGTGCTCAGATTAAAGGCCAGGAGAGCACCCTTAGGACTCCAGGGAATACAGTTTGAAAACCATTCTAAACCAGGCATGGTGATGCACACCTGTAATCCCAGCACTCTGGGGGCTGAGGCAGGAGGATCCCTGCAAGTTCAAGGCCAGTTTGGATTATGTAGTAAATTCAAGGCCACCCTGAACTGCATAGTGAGACTCCGTCTCAAAAAAACAAATAAAAAGCTGGGTGTGGTGGCACACACCTGTAATCCCAGCACTCAGGAGGTTGAAGCAAGATTGCCACAGGTTGGAGACCATCTTGGGCTATAAGTGAGTTCAAGGTCAGCCTGACATAGCAAGACCCTGCCTCAAATAAATAAATAAATAAATAGAAAACCACTCCTCAGTTCTTCACAAAACCCCTTTATGCCTGATGGCCTTGGGTTCAAGTGTTTAAAATTGTAAGAGGTGGGCTGGGGATTTAGCTCAGTAGTGCTGCCATCTGCTTTGCAAGCGCAAGGTCCTGAGTTCGATCCCCAGTACCAAAAAAAATTAAATACATAAAATTCTAAGAGGGGAAGGCTCTGGGTCTCAGAGTCTGAGGGGGGCTGGCAGCAGGAGGCTCTGGCCTATCAGAGAGTGCAGCTTAGACATTCGGGGTGAGGTCCGAACCCCAGGACCCTGATGGGCTGTGGCCAGTAGCCTTATGGGGAGCAGCTCTTGCTTCTTTAGCTCACCTGTGGCCCTTGCCTCCTCCCCAGAGCTTGGGCACAGGTGTCCCCATTTGTCCCCTAGTGCTGCTAGATAGAGAAGAGGGAGGGGAGCCAGCAGGCAATGAGGGCAAGGCAGCCTGGGGGCACCCAGGCCTGGGACCCAAGGGGTCTACTATCTCCATCCCACCTTCCCCCATGCAGGGTCCACCTGAGGGTGGAGGAAGCCCTGGCAGGGCAATTAGGAAAGTGACACGATGCCCCAGCAGGGCTGGATCCTGCCTAGGCCCATGGCTGTAGCCACAGGGCCACAAGCCCCAGGGCCTCCCCACCCTTAGACTCTTGCTCTGGCAGACCCCCTTGAATCAGAGCCCTGGGCACCCTCTCCCAGGCCCCAGTGTGACACCTGGCTTACCTTGAGGCACAGGCCCCGATGGCTGGAAAGAAGAGGGCGTGTCAGCCTGCCCAGTAGCCCAGTCACCCGCTTGGCCCCCTACAGGGGCCTGCAGCATGGCACCCGGAGACAGAAAGGCGGCCAGGCAGGAAACCCAAGCTGAGCCGACATCAATCTTTCATGGGGCTGCTCTCTGGGAAACCTTAACCCTGGCCCAATAGGGCCAAGTGACCAGTCAGGGCCCTCTATGCTCACAGGGTCAGACAGCTGTGCCCCCTCACATGGGGTCCCTCTGGCTCAGGGCAGGCTTTGTGCTCCCCAGGGTCCACCTCCTCTGACATCACCTCCTGCCTCTCAGTCGGCATTCTATACTTCTGACTTGGCCTCCTCCCCAGTCTTGCAGGCCCGCTAGCCCAACCAGGATGTTACCCCACAGGGACTGGCGCCGGGCTGCAAGAGGACCACACTCATCCCCTGCCTGATGTGTCTTCCTTGGTCCTCTCTGCTCAGCTGAGTTCTGTCACACAGCTGGGCTCAGCGTACAACTCTTCAGCGATGTTCCCCCATTTTATTTTTGAGAAAACTGAGACTTGGAGAACTGACTGGATCTCCCAGCTAAGGAGTGGCCAAGCTGGAGTCTGAAGCTCATGGCAGTTACAATATCCTAGCACCCTTTGCTGCTGAGGACAGTTCTGGTGATCCATCTGGCTCTGCCCTGGCTATCTCAGGGCAGAGGGCAAGGATTAGGTCCTGGGCTGCCTGCCTCACTTACCCTAATCCCTCTCAGGGCCCGATGCCAGGCGGTCACCTCCAAGACTGGGCACATAAGCAGCTTTGTGGCTCCCAGGAGCCAAAGGTGCTCAGGGGAGCAGCAGCCTCCAGCCTGGTTGTCTTTCCCACATGGCCTCAGAGCACAGCCCAGGCCTAGGCCCCAGCTCCCAGAAGCCCCCTGCAGAGGTGGTGACTCCAGGTAGTGGTGCTGAGGGGCGCCCTTTTAGCAGGAGGAAGAGCAAGAGGGAAAAGTGGCTTCGAGGGTCCCGGAAGGGCAACTCTGGGGAGCAAACCCCTGTCCAGGACCCCGAGGCCGCAGGGAGCAGCAAACACCCTTCAAGGACCAAACAGAGCAAAGGGAAGCCATCTCCAGTCCCACCTGGGCCAGCCTCTCTCCGCCAGTCCCACCGGCGTTGTTCTGACCCCCAGCAGGATGCTACTCAAAGGGCCTATGGGACCCTGCTCAACCGCATGTTTGGGAAGGTCAGGGGGAACCTGGGCTGGGCTGGGTGGGGGGAGGGATGGAAATTCCTTCCTCAGTCTCAGCCTTCCTGCCCCTAAGTATCCCGGTCCCCTGCCCCTTCTGGCCAGCCTGGGGGAGCCTGGCTGTGGGGGCGGGGCTTAGACCATGCAGTGCAGTGGGCAGAGCCAGGCCTCACACCTGGGCTCTGTGAGAGCGCCTTTGAATCTCTCTGCTGGGGTGGGAGTGGGGCCATGGGACTTTGCCTGCCCTGGTGGAGCTGGCCCTGCACAGGCCAGCCTAGGCAGGGGTTGGAGGAGGAAGGACAGAGCTGAGGCTGGCCTTGGGGACATGCTGGATTATTTCCCTGCAGGACCGTGAATTGGGGCCTGAGGAGCTGGAGGGTGAGTGGCTGTCAGTGCTTCTGGGGGCTTGGAGGTGTCCCTGGGCCTGGGCACCCGGCCTGACCTCCCTTTCCCACAGAGCTGCAGGCTGCCTTTGAGGAGTTTGACACTGACCAGGACGGCTACATCAGCTACCGGGAGCTGGGCACCTGCATGCGGACGCTGGGCTACATGCCCACCGAGATGGAGCTCCTGGAGGTCTCGCAGCATGTGAAGATGCGTAGTCAGTGACCAAGCCCTGCAGGGTGGCTGGGGTGGGAGTGGACTAGCTGTGGATGTAGGGGTGTGGTAGGCTGGTCCTGGTCCTCCAGGTTCAGGGGACTCTCTAAGTGGTGGCAGGAGGGGATCTCTGAGAGTCTTTTAGCAGTGATGGTAAAACAAGAGAGTGACAGTTGGGGGGTTATTGGCAGGACATTCTTCCCATCAGATCCAGGGACATGAGGTCCAAACTCCAGCCTGTTGTTGTGGTGAGGTGGGCAAGGAAGGCAGCAGGGTGATCCAGAAGTGGCCCTTGGGCTTGGTTTAGGTATCTGGCCTTGGGAAATGGGTCTGGTCTCTGCATGCCTTCAGCCCTTCCACCTGCCTCCCTGGCCGCTGCCTCTAACTTGCCTCTAACTCCTCACTGAAGGGCTCTCTCTTCTCTTTCACTGTGCTTCATGGTGTCCCCTGGTGGTGGCTGTCTTACTCGGAGTCACGAGGAATCCAGTCTCTAGAGGCCTGGAGAACAGAACCCTGGCCTAAGTGCTGAGCAGCTCTTGTGCAGTTATCATTGGCTGGTTTGTCCTGAGGCAAATACCACATTACCTTCCTTATGGGACACCCATGGTTTTTCTCACAATTTCTTTTTTTTTTTGGAAACGGGGATCAAACTCGGGACCTTGCGCTTGCAAGTCAGGTGGCAGAACCACTGAGCTAAATCCCCTGCCCCTCACAATTTCTAAAATGGGCACAAGGTTTACAGTTGCTGTGCCTAGCTGGTGTTGGGCTCCTTTTCTTTCCCCCAAAGCTGCTTTCTGGTCACTGGTGCCTTACAGGTTGACCACATGGGGCCATGTCTGAAGGCCACTCCCTGCTGCCTACTGGGCCATGAACTCTAACACCACAGCAACCTCACAGTAGGTTCTCAGACCCATCCTAGGACAAGGCTGGGAGCTACACATGTCCCGGGAGAGCCAGGATTTAAACCTTGGGCTGCCTGCTCTGAAGCCTGGCCTCTTTCTCCCACACCTAGTCCTTTGCTGAGAGCAGAACAGTCCTCAGCCCTCCAGCAGGCCTGGGTTTGGAATATACTTTTTTTCTTTGGTACCAGGGATCGAATTCAGGACCTTGTGCTTTTGAGGGAGGTAACAGAACTAAACTGAGCTAAATCCCCAGACTCAGGCCTCCCACTGCACTGTGGGCACAGGGTCAAGGGTGTGTCTTCCCAGATGCAGAGCAAGGTGGGTAGAGGGTCGAGTTGCCTCCATTTGTGGCCTTCATTTGCCTTCATTTGTTGCCTCCCTGGGTCCACAGTGGGTGGCTTTGTAGACTTCGAGGAGTTCGTGGAGCTGATAGGCCCAAAGCTGAGGGAGGAGACAGCACACATGCTGGGGGTACGGGAGCTGCACATCGCCTTCCGAGAGGTGTGGCGCGTGGTAGGGGTGGGCAGTGGGCGGCAGGGCTAGAGGACATTCTTGCTGGGGGACTGGGCCTCTGCCCTGCAGGTGGGGGGCCCAGGGCCTAGGGATGGGCAGAAAGAGTTGAGCTCCTTCCTAGTGGGGTACACCAACCAGGGACACTTCTGGAACAGGAGGCACTGTCTTGGCATGGGAGATTTGAGACATTGTGGGGTGGGGAGCATCTTGCCTGTAGGCAGTGAGTGGCAAGAATGGGACTGGGCACAGAGGCAACTTGGGGTGGGAGGGGCTGAGCCCTGCCTGGTTCCTAGTTTGACAGGGACCAGGATGGACGAATCACAGTGGCAGAGCTGCAGCAGGGAGCACCAGCTCTCCTGGGGGAACCACTGGAGGTCACTGAGCTGGACGAGATGCTCCGAGACATAGACCTCAATGGGGATGGCACCATAGACTTTGACGGTGAGTCTGCTCCCAGACCCTCCTCCCATCCCTCCAGCACCCCGGCAGACAAAGCCTAGCACCTCCTGGGATTCCTGACCTGGACTGGCCCTAACTTTGTCCCTCTCTTTCCCAGAGTTTGTGATGATGTTGTCCACCCACTGACCAGCAGGGAGACCCTGTTGCTCCTGTGGCCTGAGATACAAGCAGGACCCAGGCTGCACCCACTCCTTGAAGAGGTTCCAGGATAGCAGAGACCTAGCAGCCTCCAGAATACTTCTATCTTGGGCAGCATTTTGCTCAAAAGTCTGTGAGGTCACCCACCTATCTTTATCCTCAAAACCCACTGCTTGAGCAGCCTGGAGAAAATTTGTGCTCAGCTGCCCACCATTCCCAATTGTAAGCAAGGTCTGCATCTGTCTGCACCCTTGGGAGGTAGAGATTTCCCTGGTGCTGGCAACATTCAAATAAGGGCAATTTTGGGGGGATCCATAGTAACACAGTGAGTTGAGAGGGTGGCCAGACTCCTCCCACTACTTATGCATATAACTTTTTTTTTTTTTTGGTACCGGGGATTGAACTCAGGTCCTTGCGCTTGTGCAGCAGACGAAACCACTGAGCTAAATCCCTGGCCTCAAGTTCACTTTTTAAAAGTTATATGCAGGGCTGGGGCTGGGGATTTAGCTCAGTGGTGCTGCTGCCTGCCTCGTAAGTGCGAGGTCCTGAGTTCAATCCGGGTACCAAAAAGAAAAACAAACGAAAGTGAATTTGAAAGGGAAGAGCCTAGATCCCAAAGACCAAAGCTAGGCTTGTAGGAAGGAGCTGACCCCACACAGTTTCAGATCTGGATAAAGGCTTGGGGACCTGGGCTGTAGCACCTATGAGTAGCACAGACTTGTCTATCTAGGTGGCAAGAAATAAATCTCTGGATACATTCCAGGGCCTCAAAAGGTCACCCTGTGTCTGGAGAGGGGAATGAAAAAATATATCCCCACCAACCAGACTGAGAAGGTGTGAGAGCAGATATTTACAGTCCTGAGTGGAAACAAATCCCAGAGACAAAAATAAAGTGGAAGAGAGGAATGAATGCTTTAGGCATGTGGAAATCCCTTTTTTGTTGTTGTTGTCCTAAAGAAAGGCTGATTAACTTTAGACTTCACTGATCATCTAAAAGTAACCATTAGGGCCAGGGACACAGCTCAGTGGTGATGCGCCTGCCTGGCAAGCACAAGGTCCTGAGTTCAATTCCTGATACTGAAAAATAAATAAATAAAAGTAACCATTAATTTAACAGAAGTAGAATGTTCCCTTTAATAATCAAAGGAGGAGCCTGGAATGATGGCACATGCCCATAATCCCAGCGTTTGAGAGGCTGAAACAGGAGGATTATAAATTTGGACGCAGTGTAGGCAATTTAGAGACTTAGTGAGAGTCTGGCTCAAATTTTAAAACAAACAAAGAAACAAAGGCTGGATATGTAGCTCAGGGAGAAGGCCCTGAGTTTCCCCAGTACGAAAACAAACACCAAAAAGTCAGAGATCCAGGCATGGTGGCAGATGCTTGTAATCCTAGCACTCAGGAGACAGGCAGGAGGATTGCCTGGAGTTTGAGGCCAGCCTAAAATACAAGGCAAGACCCTGTCTCAAAAAGTGAAACAAAACAAAACAAAAACACCACAAAAAGTCAGAGAGTTCCAGTCCCTAAATAAAGTATTCCTGTTAGGTTGGATTTCTTGTGAGTACAGATAGCAAAACAAAAACAATGCCCTTATCAGAATAGAAATTTATTTGCCCAGTAAGTCTATACATGGAGTATACATTCTTCAAGTTCTCAGGTTCCTGGCCAGCTGTCCTGCCTTCCTAAGGTGTGCCCACATTTGTTTGTTTTTCTGGTGGCAGAATGGAGGCCAATAAAAAGAATAAAAGAGTAGAGTATGAACCACTTATATCCCATTAGGCAGGGCTCATCACAAGGTATAGCTGGTTGCAAAGAATGCTGGGAAATGTAGGCATTTATTTGGGTGGTCATGGGCCCAGCTACAAACCAGGGGTTCTCCCACTACAAGGCCAGAAAACAGATACAGAAGGGCAGAAATCAGTTTCTGTCTCATGGCTGAGTCTAGAATATAGGAGGCACACTCAAAGCATAATGGCCACTAGAAGGTTGAAAGTAATGGCTTGGAAAAGAGACTTCCTAACAGGAAATTAATCAAAAGAAAGATGGCACAGTGGGACATGGTGGTGTATGACTGTAATTCCGGCACTTGGGAGGCTGAGGCAAAAAGATCTTGAGTACCAGCCAGTCTGGCCTACATAGTAAGACTCTGTCTCAAAACAAAACAAAATAAAAACAGTGAGTCATAATTTACTAAGGAAATTTGTATTCTCCTTCTTCTTCTTCTTCTTCTTTCCTTCCCTCTCCCCCTCTTTCTCTTTCCTCTTGCCTCCTCTTTCTCCTTCCCCTCCTTCTTTTCTTCTTCCTTCTCTTCCTTCTCTTCCTTCCTCCTTCTTCTCCTCCTCCTTCTTCTTGAGACAGAAGGGTCTTGCTGTATAGTTCAACCTGGCCTTAAACTCAAGATTCTTCTGCTTTAGCTGCTAGATTGCTGAGATTCACCACCACACCCAGGTTGTATGTTCCTATTAATATATCTTCAAACTAAAAAGAAGTTAAATACAATATATATTTAGAGTTTAGATCTTTATCATTCCCTGAGAAATGTTGTTGTCAGTGAGATCTGGGTTAGATAAATTAACCAGAAAATTCAAACCATGGGCTGCAATGTAGCTGAGTTGTAGAGTGCTTGCCTATCAGGGGGAAGTCCTAGGTTCAATCCTCAGCACACAAAAAAAAAAAAAAAAGAAAGAAAGAAAAGGAAAGGAAAGGAAAAAAAAATCAAACACATTTAAACTTAGGAGTTGAGCTGGATATGATGGTGATACATGCCTCTAATCCCAGCTACTTTGGAGGCTGAGGCAGGAGGATTGCAAATTCAAGGCCAGCCTGGACAATTTAGGGACCCTGTCTCAAAATTTTCAAAAGCTAAAAAAAAAAAAATTTAAAAAGCTGAGGATGTAGTTCAGTGTAAAAGCCCTGAGTTCAGTCCACAGTGCTGTCACCCCTCCCCAATTGCTGAACATGGTGGCACACACCTGTAATCCTAGTACCTGGGGGGCTGAAGCCAGATTGCAAGTTTAAACCCAGGCCGGGCAGCATAGTGACTTAATGAGACCCTGTCTCAAAATAAAAACTAAAAAAAGTTGGGAATATAGCTCAGTGGGAAGACTCTGGGTTCAATCCTTAGTACTAAGAAGAGAAAAAAAAAAGTAGTGGGCTGGGGGTGTAATGTAATGCTCCCTGGGCTCAGTCCCCAGTACCACAAAAACAAACAAAACAATCCCCAAACCCCCAAATACTTTGTAAGTGTTGATATCTGCAGTGAATAACTAGATTGACAAATTTTTTTTTCTGTAGAGGGCCAGAGAGTAAATATTTCAGGCTTTGAAGGCCATATGAGACTGTTATAACTGTTCCCTCAACTCTGCTGTCGTATTTGTAAAGCAAAGCTGTCATGGTCAACATATAAACAAATAAGTGTCACCATGGTGGAAATTTAATAAAATCATTCATAAAACGTCGCTCATTGACATTGGAATTTGGATCTTAAGTAATTTTACGTGTCATGAGCCCTTAATAACTTTTTTTTCTTTTTGGTACTGGGGATCGAACTCGGGACCTTGAGCTTGTGCCGCGGGTGCCGGAACCAGTGAGCTAAATCCCTAGACCCCCCCACTTTTTTTTTTTTTTTGAGACAGGGTCTTGCTTTGAACTCACAGCAGTCCTGTCTCAGCCTCCCAAGTGCTGGGACTGCTGGCATGCACCACCATGCCTGGCTCTTACTTTTTTGTCTTATACTTTGACTTTTCCCCACCCATTACAACATAGAAAATCCATTCTGTGACCTATACTTGCTGACTCCTGATATATTAGGAATCATCACTTCTGGAATAATTGCTTTTTTTTTGTACTGGGGATCGATCTCTGGTCCTTGTGCTTGTGAGGCAGGCGGTGGAACCACTGAGCTAAATCCCTGGCCCGTGGAATAATTGTTCAGCTAAGGTTGTGAAATGAGAGCTTGAGGATGTAGCTTGGCAGCACAGCAGTTGCTTAGCATGCATGAGGCCCTGGGTTCCATCACCAGTGCAACAGATTATGGAATTTTATTTATTTATTTATTTATTTATTTATTTATTTATTTATTTATTTATTGGTACCAGGGATCGAACTCAGGACCTTGCGCTTTTTTTTTTTTTTGGTACTGGGGATCAAATTTGGGTCCTTGAGGACCTTGTGTTTTTGAGGCAGGCAGTGGCACCACTGAGCTAAATCCCTAGCCCAAGATTATGGAATTTTAAAAAGTTCTTTTTTTTTTTTTTGGCAATACCGGGGATTGAACTCAGGACCTTGAGCTTTTGAGGCAGGTGTGCAGCACCACTGAGCTAAATCCCTGGCCCCAAAAAAGTTAATAGTAGTGACTGTCAGCCGCCCCACACCTGTAATCCCAGCACTCAGGAGACTGAGGCAGAAGGATCGCCATGAGTTTGAGGCCAGCCTGAGCTACATAGTGAGTTAAAGGCCAGCCTGAAAAAAATGTAGGGACTGTGCTGCCTATCTGCTGCTCACTTTTCAATGAATAGCTTTTGTAGTTTTTATTTTTCATATGGTTGTTCTGTATACATTTATTGAAATGTGATTTTTATGTGATTACTCTGATAATTGAAACTGTGGGCCTGAGCTGGGTGTAGTGGTGCATGTCTGTAATCCTAGCACTTGGGAGGTTAAAGCCGGAGGATTTCAAGTTCAAGCTCAGCCTGGGCAATTTAGTGATTTAGATCCTGTCTCAAAAATAAAATAAACAAAAAACTGGGGATGTAGCTCAGTGTGAAGGCTCTGGGTTTAACCCTCAGTACTGGCAGGGGGAAAAAAAAAGTGACCTAGATTATCTTATTGTTTCATTTTTCTAGCTTTTATTTTCTCTTACAGAAGTATTGGTCCATGATAGACTAGGGATGTAAAATGGTTTTTGGCCACAGCTAGCTTGGGGATCACTGTTTCAGAAGTGCCTCCATCCAAAGGGGATCCCCAAAGTGCCATGAGGGGGTGCTGAGGGTGAAAGGTTCAGGAGAGCAGGAGCAAGAGGCTTGGGTGTTCATTCATTCAACAAAGGACCAGGACTCTAAAGGTGCCCACCATCCTGGAGCTGTACATGGTGGGCAGTCCCTTCCTAGTGGGACTTTTGCTTCAACTGAGGAGACAGAATGCTCCTTCAGGTGTTCCTTTGGCCAGGGTCTGGTTCCCCTCTCCCTCCCCTCCAGTCATGGAAAGGACCCTGGGTTATGTTTCTGTCCACAGGCCACTGGCTGTCCTTGGGTGAGTCAATGCTTATCTATAAAATGGGGCCCCCTCTCAGGCCTCAGGCCCCTCATCTGTATAATGGAGTTGAGAGTTAGGCTTAGTGAAACACTCCTGCAATCCCAGCACTCTAGGAGGCTGAGGCAGGAGGATCATAAATTCAAGCCCAGCCTAGACAAATTAGTTACTTAGCAAGACCCTGTCTCAAAATATAAAATAAAATAGGGCTGGAGATGTAGCACAGTGCATAGGCCCTGGGCTCAATCCTTGGTACCACAACACAAACAAATAAAATGAGATGGGTTGAGGTAATAGGGATTCTAATATATGGCCTGGGTTTAGTGCTTAGCACAAGGGCTGATGCCTTAGCCTTGTAGGAGTTTGACAAACAGTTGCTATTATGAGCTCAGATTTCAGGGTTCTCAAAGATTCTATTTCGTGGTTCCTGAGATTATGAGGTGCTCTGATTTTTCAAATATTCAAAATGATCTGTTTTTGATGTTCTTTGGTTCTTTGGCTCCAAGTGTCTTGGATAACTGAGGCTGTTTTCCAGGAGGCCCTACTTGCCATGCCCTCTGCCCCCTGATGCTCTCAATCTCTGCCTGGGAAGTAGGGCAGTGGGGGAGGGGCCAGCCACTGCCTCCTCATGGCCCACATTCAGGGCTGGCTGTGGCAGCCCAGGGCCTCAGAGCCAGGCTGCAACCAGGATAGCAGCCTCCAGGCCCCAGGCCTGCGTCATTTCTGAGTGTCCTTGGCCAGGGCCACCAGGGCAGGTGCTGGGGCTGCCTTTCTAGGCAGACAGGGCCCCTTGAATCTGCAGGACTAGGAGTAGGGAAAGTTGACACCGCCTCTTCCTGACTGAGCTTTGTCCCCAGTATGTCATGACCGCGGACAAGTCTTGGAGCAGAGGAGCATGGGGTTGTCCCAGGTCCAGGTCGGTGGTGCTTGACACCTTTCACTCCCAGGGTCAGACCTTTTCCCACCTTTATGGAAGAGGCTGGGCCAGGAGTGGTGGAACAGGAAAGAGTAGTGGTCCTTGGTGGAATTAACTATCCTTTTATTAGCACAAAATAACATCCACCTAGTTGCCCCAAGGCCCAAGAATAAGTTAAGGCACAGAGCAGGTGAAGGGCGAAGGGGGGTGTTCTCAGCTGGGGCCTGCCCCAAACTTCCTGAGCAAACTCCCGAAGGGGCTGGGTGTTGCAACACTCCCGGAGGGGCTTCTCCCTCGGAGGCAGTGTCCTGGGGCTTGAATCACAGGTGTTCTGCCCGAGGCTCACTTCTCGAAGTAGGGCAGGTAGAAAAACTGGAAGCCCCGGTGGCCCTTGACGGCACAGTAGATGAAGATCACGTGGTACACTGTGGGGGCGGAGTCTGTCACCAGGAAGCCTTGCCCAGCCCCTCCCTCTCCCCACCCCCTTGCCTGCCTGCCCATACCTCCGGGGATCAACAACAGGAAGCCGGGCACGAAGAAGATGGCACTGGAGACACCTGGTGGAGGGAGAGGTGGTAGCTCAGGGTGGGAGGCCATAGCACCAACAGAGGGTCGCACGCTCCTGTCGTGAACTGCCTGGGCAAGCCTCCCTCTCTGCTGAAAAAAGGGCAGATTCCTTCTGGGAGGTGGCTGGGCTTGCTAAGGACCCATGGGCACGGGTGGGGGGCACTCACCTGGAGAGGGGGCCACCTCCAGTCCCACGCCGACCAGGATCAGCACTGCACACAGATGGGGCCACCAGGGGGTGAGGACTAGGCCTTCCACCCCAAACCCCAGACCAGACCTGAGGAATGGTGTCCCCCACCTCAGGTGAAAAGCCCCTGGGCAGAGACCCTCCCTGGGAAGGTCACCTGTGTTTTCAGAGCAGGCACTTTGCAGGCCCTAGGAAATGTCTGTGAAATGAGATTTTTGCTCCTTGGTATGGATTAAGTCATTCAGTAAATACTTAGGGAACACCTCCTGCATGACTAGTACTAGGAATTCCATTGTGAAAGGCAGATAAGGCCCAGCCCTTGTGGCTCTTCCTTAGTAGAAGGACCAACAAGAACATGAAGGCTATAACCCAGGTGATCAGGATATGTGGGGAAAAGACAGGGTAGTGTGGGAGCCGAGAGGTGCTGCCCCAGTCAGCGTGGAGGGCCAGGGAGAGGCTTTATGGAGGCAGTGATATCTACGTGGAGAAAGGTCAGCATCAGCAAGAGCAATCAGAGTTGATATTGACCACTTACCAGGCACTGTCTTATTAGTCACTTTGACAGGAGACAGGTATAAAAGAAAACTGAGGCACACAGCGGGAGTCACTTCCCCAAGGCTGTCTGACTCTAGAGGCTTTGCTGTGGGGATCATCAGGCAGACAGAATTCCAGACAGAGCAAACCTCATGGCAAAGGCTCGGAGGCTGGAGGGAGCTGGGCCTTTCCAAAAGCTTCCAGCAAAGGCTACACTGGACAGGAACAGCTCAGGCTGCAGGAATTTGGTAGGGCCTGGAGTCCCAGGCAAGGTTAGTTGATGTCAGGGAAGCTGAAGAGGTCAGGCAGGATCTGCTTTTCGCTCAGACTCCTGGGTCCACAGAGGAAGAATGGGGGATTTGGGGGGTGCAGCAAGGGGAGTGGTACCGCCTGGGGGATTAGGGGGCCACCATGGGCTGGTGTGTGCTTTGTGTACAGCACAGTACCTCAGAAAGGGACACAACTTCACTCCCTGCACCCTGACTAGGGCTGTGGATGCTGCTTTCTCAAAAGAGGCATCTTTAATTCCTACAAGGGCCCTTATTGGGGTCCTTATGTAGTTACCCATATGGGTTTAAATCTCAGCTCATCCACTTCCTAGCTGCAGCTTGAGCAGGCCCCTCCATCAAAATGAGCTTTATGTCCTTATTGCTGAAGCTGGGGTGGTATCACCTTGTGGGGCTGAAGAGGAGCCAGTGGCCAGTGCCACTGGTACTTGGCATAAAGTGCTATTGGGAAGTGGTAGCCCCCCCTCAACACACACCTGGAGCTGGGGCTGGGCTTTCTGGCCTAGAAGGCCTGGCTGGCTGTGGAGCTTTGACTTTCCTGGAGATGAGAGGAAGAGGAGCCACAGCAGAACCACAGCTAGTCCTTCCTTATAGACCCCTCTTCACCATAATCCTAGATCCTTTCTGGGGACCCTGCCCCCTCTGTTCCATAGAATGACAAGGTTGGCAGTCAGAAACATATGGGTGTGACACTGGCCTGCTCTAGACCTCAGTATTCTCATCTGAGCAATGGAGGAGGAGCGAGGTCCTGGTCAGCAGTCAGACTCCAGAGAAGGGGAAGTGATAGCCCTCTGGATGGGGCTGGAAGGCACTCAGCATCCCTGGCCACAGGGATACCTGCACCTGGCTCTATACACAGGTTCTAGGCCCTGCCTCTCATTTAGTGAGTGATATCTGTAAGGCCAAAGTAGACACAGAATAGCAGTTACTCTTCAGTCCCCTGATGGATTAAACAGGTTAAGCTTTAAAGAAAGTCTTTAGAGCACTGATCCAGGTTCTATTTCTGCTGTGTGATTTCCTGGCTGGGTGACCAGGAACCTGGGCTTGCCCCTCTCGAGGCCTCAGTTCCTCACCTGTAATGTGGGGATGCTGAGAGGCACACTGCACCAGGGGGAGACAGCCTACACAGAGGGAGGGCAGGGGAGTCAGGACCCTCAGGGTACTCACCCAGCCCCAGCAGCAGGAGCAGGAAGGAGGCCAGCACTACCCGGCAGTTCTTCTGGATTAGAGGGTGTTGGGTCCAGCTGGGTGGCAGGAGAGCAGGATGAGTGTGAAAAAGGTGAAGGGAGGGGGTGGGAGAAGGGCCATGGCTGATTGGCCAATAGTACTTGGAGTCTGGGACTCATTCTAAGAGGGTCTCACCTGCAGCAGGCATTGTAGGAGCGCTGGGTGGTGCTGCTGATGGTACTAAAAGACCACTGGGAGCTGCGGATGGATGTTCGGCCAGAATCCCTGCAGGACAGGGCTTGGTGAGGGGCGGGGGAAGCTAGGAAAGGGACACCTTTGGGATAGGAGTCCTGAAGAAGTGTGTATGTGGGTGGGTACAGTGCATAGGGTTGGCCCCCAAAGGACTAGGGGCTCTGAGAGGGGACAGAAAATGAAAAGGAATTCAAAGGCTGGGGGGTTCTGCAAGACTAGGGGTGGAAGAAGACTAGGGATGAAAGCTAGGGGTTTCTGCAGCATAGATGACCTGTAGGGAGGTGAAGGGGTGAGGGGAAGCAGACTAAGGGTAAGAAAGCGAAGGGTTTCTATAGCTTTAAGACCTGGGAGGGGTAGGGAGATGAGATTGGGCACTAGGGTAAGGTGACTATGCTGGACAGGCGACCCCCTGATGGGAGTGGGGCTAGGAATCCTTATAGGTTAGAACATAGGAGAGCTGAGTGTACTGGGGTCGTGCACTGGTAGGTCCCTGTGGACAGGAGCTAAAGGCATGGAGCTCAGGGGACAGGATGGGTCCCCACCTGGCCCTAACCTGGTGCTGACTCCCCCATCTGGTTCCGGAGAAGGCTGGGCTACATCTTCATCATTCTGCAGGTTCTGTTCCAGAACACAGGGTTCAGAGGGTGGCTGGAGTCAGGCCCTTCCTCACTCCCCTCCTTGGGGAGAGGAGAAAAATCGCCCATACAGCTGCTTCCCCGGCCACCTGGCAGCTGCTCACCTGGCCCTCCACCCTCCCAGCCGAACGGGTTTGATGATTCACAGAAACCGAAACCCAGGTAGGAGGTGGGTGGATGGTGGAGGTGTTGGAGAGCCGGGTTCAGAAGGGGTCCGGTTGAGGGTTCCCTGCATGGGTTCCAGGAGCGCGTGACCTCTAAAGTTCTAAGGATGATATTTCAGGGGCCCAGCAAGGCAGGACTGGATTAGGGGGGGAAGGGCCCAGGGTTCCCGGGTTTAGGGCACAGGAATCTAGCCTGGGTCCTCAAGAAAAGGATTCTAGGAATGGTGGAGGCTTTTTCTGTTCAGTGGGAGTCAAGGGGTGTGAGCAGAGGTGTAATGTGAGTGGGAGCCCCCAGCTCAGAGAAGATGATCGGATGGAGACTTCCAGAGCACAGACGGGGATACAGGTTCCTAGATAACAGTTGCTCTGGCTCTGAGCAACATCTGGTTCAGTTACAGAAGGGCTCTCCAAACCAGCGGGGGCGAGGGGTCAGCCCCCTGGATGGGTGGAGACTCCAGGAGAGCTCTCCATTGTAGCTGGGGGATGAGCTCCCTGGCCAGGCTCTCCAGTGCTAGCTGTATACCGAAATCAAGGTGACAGGTTCCGGGAAGGGCTCTGGATCAGGGGTCACACCAAGGGCGGTCTCCCGCTCCAGCTGGGGCTTCTAGGCAGATTCTTCCCCCGAGCTTGGGTTCTCCAGGGCCCGGCCTGGAGCGGGGTGAGGTGGGCCGGGCCCTTCACCTGATAGCGCAGCCGGGACTGCTTGTCTTCGTCAGCCGCCTCGAACCGGGCCCGGCGCTCGAAATGTAGCGGCCCGAAGCGGGCGACTCCGCTGGATTCGGGCCCAGGACCTGCGTCCTCCAGGGTCAGCTCGAAGGCGTCATCGATGCTGAACTGGGATCGGGTGGCACTCATGGCCCCCGCCCGCTCAAGCGCCCTGCCCCGCCGCCATCTGAGCCCGCCACCCCAGATCGCCGCGGCCCCGCCCCTACGCGCAGCTCCCGCCTCCGCGCTTTCTCCCGGGGAGTTCGACTGGCCGGCACCCCGGCCGAGGCCCTGCCCCACGCAACGGTCCCGCCCTTGCCAGTCCTCACCAGGCCAGAGCTGCCGAGCGCCGAGCTGGCTGGCGGCCGGGACGCTTCTTGCCGGGAGCCGGCCAGGCCCGCGGCGCCGCCCAGCGGCCGCCTCAGCGAGCAACAACAGCCGGTGCCTCTCTAGGGTGTGATCCTTGGGCCCCACGTGGGCTCGCAGGGCTGCAAGAGCTCCAGTCGCCCAGGTCAGAGAGGTGGCCTTTTGCCTCCCAGCCCATCCTCCAGTGCCAAAGGAAACTGGTGGAAAGAGACAGTTCCCTCACCTCACCAGGGCCCTGGGTGGACGGAGTGTTTTTGCCATTTTGCAGATGTGGAAACTGAGGTTCAGAGTTTATGTGGCTTTCATTGTCCTCCAGTCAAGTTTCTATGCAGTAACAAAAGTGATCTTTTAAAATACGGGTTTTTTTTTGTTTTGTTTTGTTTTTGGTACCGCGGATTGAACTCGGGCAGGCGCCGGAACCACTGAGCTAAATCCCCGGCCCTAAAATATGTTTTTCTGTGTTACTCTTAAATAAAACTTTTTTAGGGGTTGGTGGGTGTAGTTCAGAGGGTATACAGGTTCAATCCCCACCACTATAAATAAATAAATAAAAACTAATGCTGTTAAAACTTTCCTCTTCTTGCAGCTGGAGATTTAACTCAGTGGTTTCGCGGCCTGCGGCACAAGCACAAGGATCGGAGTTTGGTGCCCGGTACCAAAAACAAAACAAAACAAAACTTTGCTCTTCTTAAAACTTCCAAGGGGTTTCTACAGTAGTTAGAATAAATTCTGTGTCCTTGGCTTGGGCTTACAATGCTCTGAATGTCAGGTGCCTGTCTACCTTTCCCACCCTTGGACCTTCCCTCTGCCTTTTTCCACCTCACACAGCCACGCTATGCCCCAGCTGTATTTAGCTTAATGTATAAACAAACAAACCAATAAACATTTGTGGCAGGAATGAATGGGTAGTATGCTAGAGTTCCAAACGCTTGGAAATAGCAGAACTGAGATTTGAACCTAGATCCTCCCAGCTACTGGAGTACCTGTCTTCTTCTGCCTCATCCACCCCCTTTCTGATCTGTCCCATTTTATGAAGGAACTGTGACAACTCTACATCACAGTTTGTGACACCTCATCACTATGATCGAGGCCCCTCTTGAGTTGTGTTAATCCACTTTTCTCCCTTCACTTTCTACCATTCCTCCTCTTCCCATTCTGTCAGACCTCACAGCAGTGTGCTCAGTCTGCTTCCCTGAGTCCTGCCTGGCCTGCACCACACATGGCATCATCCCCTATGTGGATGTGTTTGCAATTTACAAACACTGTGTCATGTAGCAAACTCATTCTGTTGTTTACATTTTTACATTTTTCCACTCAACACTAATGTTTTCCACGTGTATTTCATTTTTTTTTTCTACTAGCTGCTTGCATATTACATCACTATGAGCTTTCAGCACATTTTTGGGGGTTTGTTTCAGTACTGGGAATTGAACCCAGGACCTTCACTTTGAGCTACATTCCCAGCCCCTTTCAAATTTTTTATTTTGAGACAGAGTCTCACTAAGTTGCTAAATTTTCCAGGCTGGGCTCAAATTTGAGATCCTCCTGCCTCAGCCTCCCAGAGTGCTGGGAATACAGGTGACAGAACTTTTATCATCCACCTCATGCTCACAGTGATCACATCAGGTTGGGCCTATCACACACATCACTGCCATGCACATTTTCCTTCTGTCCTCTATGAATGTTGGGAGAACCTTCTTGGGATAGGATTTCCAGGCCATGGGGCATCTGTCACGGTGTGTGTGTGTGTACTATACTGCACCTCCACTCTGCTGTCTGAGCAGCTCTCCTGGATTCCTAAACCCAACCTCAGTAAAGGATTAAAGGGACTAAGTTTAAAAGGGAAAATAAAGACATTTTATTTGCAAAAGAAAGGAGAGAACAGAAAGCAGCCCTGTGTGTGAGAGTAGAGGGTCTGAAGACTGAAAACCCAAGAGCCCTTCTTTCTTGGATGCTTTTATTGGGTGACAGAAAGACCTTTCCCTCGGAGTTTGTCACAACCCAATTGGCATTCCCAGGCCCTAGGACCCTCACCCATGCACCATTGGGTATGTGCATCATCATCATCATCATTATAATTATTATTATTTTCTTTGAGACAAGGTCTCCCTTTGCAGTTCAGGCTATCCTTGGGCTCACTATGTAGCCCAGGCTGTCCTCAGATTCACAGGCATCCTACTGCCTCAGCCTCCTGAGTGCTGGGATTACAGGTGTGTGCCATCACACCCACTACCTGGACATTTTTAAATGAGCTTCATTTGTTTTTTTTTGTCCTGTCAAAATCTTATCTTTAGAATTTATTGGCTGGTTAGAAGGGGTCTTACATACCAGGTCAAGTTAGGAATTAAGTAAGGGGTCTAGTGCACTATTATAGTGGCCATATATATATGCATACTAGAGAATATGACCAGCACTAGGGTTCCCACTTCTGAAAATTGCCTGTTTGTATCTTTGTCTTGCTAACCCCTCCCCATCTCGCCCTTTTCCTGCTGATTTGTATATCTGTGTGTATCTATTAATCTCTTGCTTTTTTAAATACTTTTTTTGGGGGGGTACTGGAAACTGAACCCGGGACCTTGGATTGAGCTACATCCCCAGCATTGCCAAGCTTTTTAATTTTATATTTTGACTTTATAATTTCTATTTTATATTTGCTTAATTTCCCAGGCTGGCTTCAAACCTGTGATTTTCCTGCCTCAGCCTCCTGAGAAGCTAGATTACAGATGTGTGCCACTGTCTTAGTTACTTTTCTCATTGCTGAGACAAAATACCCTATGCCCAAAGTTAAGGGAGGAAAGGTTTATTGTAGCTAACAGTTTGTACGTTTCAGTTCATAGTTGGGTGGCTCCAAGGCAGGGTGGCATGGAAGGGGGCATTGCAGAGGAGAAACAGTTCTTGCTGGACAGGAGGCAGCAAAGCAGTGAAGTAGTGAAAAAGCAGCATCAGGCCTGACTTCTTTCTGTCCCTTTATATCCATCCAGGCTACTGGCCTTCTGGGTGGTGCCACCCACACCCAGGTTGGGCCTTCCTTCCCATTATCCACACCCAGAACTATGTCAAACCATTCAGTGGACTAATTCAGTAATCACACACCCTTAATCCTTGCATCACACATATCACCTCTGACAGTCCTATGGCTACAGAGGGTTTGGGAGGACGTCTAGACACAAGCCATAACAACCACGAAGCCTGTTTTAATGCCTTTCTTCCCCAGTGCTGGGGATTGAACCCCTTCAGAGTAAGCTACACCTCCAGTCTCCATCCCCATTCCCATATTTAAATTTTGAGACGGGGTCTTAATAAACTGCTAAGGTGCCCAGACTGGGCTCCAACCTGAGATCTTTTTGCCTCCCTCTCTCAGTGCTGGGATTACAGGCATGCAGCACCTTACCTGTTTTTTTTTCTCCCTTTTTTTGCTGGGGGTGGGTGGGGATGGTACCAGGGATTGAACTCAGGACCTTGTGCTTGCAAAGTAGGCGGCAGCACCACTGAGCTAAATCCCCAGCCCATTACCTGATTCTTAATGGCTTTTTGGCAGCATGGTTGGGGAGAACTGGGGATTTAATCCAGGCCTTTGCACTGGGCCACATCGAAAGCCCTTTTTTATTTTTTAATTTTGAGATAGGGTCTAACAAACTTCCTAAATTACCCAGGCTGGTTTCAAACTTGTGATCCTCCTGCCTCAATTTCCTAGAGTGCTGGGAATACAGATGTGGACCACCACACCCAACTTGCATTATTTTTAAAAAATAAAATTTAAGGTGTAGGACTGCATAACTCTGTAATCATAAAACTCCCCTAGCCCCAACTGTGATTGAATGTGAGTAAACAGATAAAAATGCTTCTTAGTTCCAGGACACTAGATAAGATCGTACCAGCCATAATTATCCAACTCTTTGTTCCGGACACCATATCTATAGAACAATCTACAAAGCATCGCTGACTATCTGTACATCTCAGGCTAATTAAGATACAAATGTAAGACCACTAACCTTTGTTCCTTCTTCTGTAAATTTCGCCTGTTAACTTCCCTGAAAGCCCCTATAAAAAGAGCCTCGGACTCTGGACTGGTGCCTCTCTAAGCTACTTTGCTTTGGGAGTGCTGTCTGGCCAGACTAAGGTCTGTTTCACTTTCCAACTTGTCCGGTGTGTTCCTACCCGGGTGTTCTTTGCTGCAGTCAGCTCCTTGGAGCATTTGGTAGGGCCCTTGGCCTTACATTCTGGAGGCACCACTGGGATCCTTGGGTGTGCTTCACTATAGTCAGCTCCTTGGAGCATTTGGTAAAGACAGTGGTCTTACAAAGGCAAGGATCTAAAATAATTTCATAATTATTTAAAATTACCAAGATTTTAAATAAAAACAGAATTTGACCTTGCACAAGATATTTGCCTGGCCCTCATCCCGGCCCTGCCTTGAGCTACTTACTTAACTGCTTTGTGCCTCAGTTTCCTCATTGGTCGGCTGGAAGTAATCATAGTGCTTCTTCCCCCCCCCCCCATACTGGGGATGGAACTCAGGACCTTGCGCTTTCAAGGCAGGCAAGTTGTCACAGAGCTAAATCCCTGGCCCTCATAGTGCTTCTTTAATAGCATTAATTTAAGATAAAATGAGTTAATGTATAGTAAGGAGCATAGCACAGTGCCTGGCAGATATAAGGTTTTTTTTTTGGTACCAGGGATTGAACTTGGGTCCCTGCGTTTGCAAGGCAGGCAGTGGAACCACTGAACTAAATCCCCAGCCCAAGGATTCTACTTTTGAGTATGGTGCAAAGAGGGATCCAGATTTCTGTCAATGTATTATGATCCAGTTGTCCCAGAGCTACCTACTAATCAGCTTTTTCTGGTTTGTTTGTTTTTTGGTACCAGG